ATTTTTCCAGCACCATTTATTAAAGAGGCTATCGTTCTTCCAGTGAGTTTGTTTGGCCCCTTTATCAAAGATTAGGTGGCTGAGTGTGGTTTTCATTACAACTGTATTAGTGTTTATCTGATTTTTCATATCAATTAATGTTCTTTTTATATAGTTTAGTATGTCAGTACTTAGTGCATATATATTTATGATTATTAACTCTTTCCCTTTGATTGTTCCTTTAACAGGTAAATAGTGACCTTCTTTGTCTCTTCTGATAAGTTTTGGCTTGAAATCCACTTGTCAGCAAATTGACTTACTACTCCTACTTTTTTTCCAGTTTCCTATTACATGGAGTATTATTTTCTATCCTTTGACTTTCAGTCTATGAATTTCTTTTTGGGTTAAGTGTAAGGAACCAACAGGAAAATAATACAATGAGAAGGATAAGTCGATATCTATCGATTATAACCATCAATTTGAATAGTCTCAATTTAACAATCAAAAGAAACAGATTAGCAGAATGTATCAAGAAACAGGATCCAATTCTTTCATGCATCTCTTGCAAGAATGAAGACCATTTTCAGCAATCAGTAGACATTCCAGAGAATGTGAACATCTCTCAAAAGGGATGCACAGTTATTGTGAAGGGCTCCACAGGAATCCTGCGGAGGGGCTTCAACCACAGCAATTTAGAACTCAGTCTCCTTGGGAAAAAAAAAAAAGATGCTCTAGGTTGACAAGTGGTTGGAAAACAGAAAGGAGCAGGCTACTGTTCATGTGATCAGTAGTCATGTAGGGAACATAATCAAGAGTGTTACGGTGGGCTTCTATTACATGATGTGATCTGTGTATGTTCCCTTCCCCCTCAACATTGCTATTCAGGAAAATGGATCTTTTGTCAAAATATGGAATTTCTTAAGTGAAAAATATGTCCACCAATTTCATATGAGTGACGATGTTGCTTGCTCAGTATCCCAAGCTCAGAGAGACAAACTGATCTTTGAAGGAAATGACATTGAGCTTGTTTCAAATTGTGCTGTTTTCATTCAGCAAGCCACAGCAGTCAAAAACAAGGATATCAGAAAGAAGTTTTCCATCCACAGAAACAAGCTTTGGTGTTGTAAGACCAATTTGTGATATATTAATGATTCAATAGAAAAAAGAAACAAGATCCAACAACATGCTGCATATGTTCTTGTTCAGTTCAGTTTGCAACCATCATTGTGGAGAGAATTGAGTTCATGAACCAAGTTACCCCTCTACTTCACTCCAAGCTCTCCTTGACTTGAGGGTTTGCTGGAGAAGTCAGCTGTGATTCTGATGTGTTTGCCTTTATAGGTGATTCTTTTCTTTAACACCTTTTCATAGTCTGTTTTTGTGTTTGATTTCTGCAATCTTGACTATTATATGCCTCTGTGTGTGTGTGCGCGCGCGCACGTGTATGCACATGTGTGTGTGTGTATGTGTTCTTTCTGATCATGGCTATTTGGGGTTCTAAATGCCTCACTTATGTGTATGTCAAATTCTTTTCCCATGCTTCAGAAGTTTTTTCCTGTTACTTCTGAGTACAGGTCTTTTATGTTCTTTGTGTTATCTTCTGAGATTTCATTGATTCCAATTAATCTTATATTCTTCTTCTTTGTGATGTCTAACAGCTGTTGGATTGATTTCTTTTTTTTTTTTTTTGTTTTGTAGTCCTTTGCTGTTTGGAAGAAGTGTTTCATTTGATGATTGCCAACCACAACCCTGTCCTCTAGATCTGGTATTCCATCTTCACATTGGTTGATTCTGCTGTGTGTACCTTCAATAGATTTTTAATCCCCTGGATATATGTTTGCATTGGTTTCATGACGTTCAATTCTTTCCTATGTTGAGCATTTATGGTTTCCCTAAGCTCCTCTATTTTTTATCTGTATCTACTCTAGATTCATTAGCCATGTCCTTCATTGTGGTCATTATCTCTTCATTTATCTGTGTAGTTACTTCTTTTTTTATCTTTGTCTAGGGACATATTCATCTGCTTTGTTATTTCTACTCCTACCATTTCATAAAATTTAGCTGGGTAGCTTTTGGATTCTTCTACCTCATTGTTTTCTGGGGTTGCTTTGGAAAAATTGAGTGTTTTGCATTGCATCTTGCTTCTATATTTTCTTATTTACTTTTTTGTTTTTGTTTGTTTTCCACATTGAGGCTTATATGTTGCTTATGGTAGGTAGTTTTATTGCTAGTAGCAAGACCTCTTTGGATGATGACTACTTTTCAGAGCTGTCTTCTAGGCATAGCTGGCATCTGGCCTTTGGTCTGTCCCAGCATCCTACATTTTCTGTTTTTTAGGGGTTGGAGGTTGCAGCCTGTTTTTGCCTAGAACCTAGTTCTTTGGTAATAGGCTGTAGTGTTGTTTATGAGCCCCAGAAAATCTAGGTATTGGCATATAGGGAGGGTCAGTTGATCATAGCTATGTCACCTTGGCTAACAGTACATTGGGTAATAACTATAGTATCAAACACAAACTGCAAAATGACAATCTGTAATAACTAATACTTTGTCACCTTTAACCCTAGGTACAAGGTTTATAGTTACATAGCAAGATCTAAGACAAATCAGAAAATTATATACAGTAAATATTCCCTTGATAGAGCAATTTTACCCTCTTTCACCATAAAGCAGTATTCAGCCATAGTAAGATATAGTTAAACTGCCTGTAAATTCATAAAGGGAAGCAGTATGGATGTGATAGTATGAAGAAGAAAGAGAAAAGAAATAAATCATGAAAAATAAAACAATTGTAGATGGTAAATGTGTAGAAGATTGATATAGAAGGTGCTTTTAAGGAGTACAGGGAAATCAGTAGTATTAGATAACAATAACAGAGATGACCACCTAGGAAAGGATAAATAATAGGGAGTGGAGACTAAATTAGAGGAAAAGAAAATTTAAAAAATACTAAGGGAACTAGTTGAAGGAGAGAAAGTATGAAAAAAAGAGGCAGAGAAAGAATAAAAGGAGAGTCTATTCAAACAAATAAAGTAATATTAAAGGAGAGAGAGGAGAAAAGGAGGGCCTATTCAAACAAATAAAACAAAGTAATATTAAAGGAGCAGGGAAATTGGTGGTAAAACTAGAACCTCTGCCAAATGAAAAAGAAATAGTGAGAAAAATGTACCAATGATGTGGGGAGGTAGAGAGAGACAGAGTGAGAGAGAGGGAGGGAGGGAGAGAGAGAGTCCCTATGTATTTCCAGAGGAGTATTTTCTTCCTAAGTCAGTAGTCTTTAATATTGCGAATCACATTCATTTTTGTCCCTCTTTATAGCCTGTGATGTTCTATGGAGATCACTCAATTCAAGAGGACCTCTCTCTCCATGGTCTTTTGTTTGTGGCAGCTGTTTTGTCTGGAGAATCAGACCAGGGAAGGTGTGGGGCATTGTTTCCTGTTGTGGATTCCTTTTGGTAGAGGACTGATGCTGGTTACTTGATGTATCTTCTGGTGTCTGGGGCATAGGCTCTCAGTATCAGGTAGAGGCTCCTATGGGCTCTCAAACATGCTTCTCAGTCCTCTGGGTGCTCAGAGGGGAAACAAATCTGCCTAAGACTAACATGGGCAAGTTTTTGTAAGCCCAGTGAGGGCACAGAGCCCTGGGGTGGTGTCTCACAGGTGTCCAGAGTACAGGGTAGAATAGGTATTCATTAGTCTTTGTTGCCTAACCAGGCAAAAGACTGGCCTATGGTGTTAGGCAGGAACTGTGTCTGAGGCCCTGGCTACAATGCAGGGTAGAGACTCTTCTCTGTCTACGGTGCTTGGAACATCCTGTGTAAACTCTGGTTCCACGGGGACTGATGTTAGATGTCAGACAGAGACTCTGGTGGGACTAGGATTTGAGCAGGGTACTGAGAGCTAACTGTGGGCTCAAGCTAGCTCATGGTACTGAGTATGGACTCAAACTGCAGCAGTGTTAGCTCTGTGCACCAGATGATGTCTCAGTTTGTGAGGGATAGAAGGCAGGCTCCCAGTGGTGACTGAGGATGTGTTCTGGGTCCAATATTGAAGACTCTCAACACAGGCTGGGATTGTGTTTTTCCTCTCAGAGTCTGAGGAGAAACCAGTGGGTGGAGAGAGGGAGCAGCTCCCTGGTCTCTTGGCCCGGGTGTATGCAGCTAAAAATGCTGCCAGGCTGCAGAGTCCTCTGTCTGGAGAGGGATGATGATGCGAAGGGCCCGTATACCTCAGGTCTATCCTTTGTGGCTTTACTCTGCCTTGCTGCTTGGATCCCACCACCTATTCCGGAACGTCTCAAAACTACAGATCCTTCACTGAGCATGGGTTGAAACCCTGCAAGGCCATACTGCTGGGCTGCTTCACTGCTTTTAAATTCCTATCCATATGTTTTGTTTGATTTTGCAAGTCTCTTCTTTTAAATTGACTTTTTCCATCAGTGTGTATGTCCCTCCCCTTCTTCCAATTACCTGTATTTTTAGTTGATCTTCTCTGAGTCTCTCAGACACAGCACCTCCCCTAGTGAGCCATGTTAGACTCCTGTCATGTATTGTGTTTTTTGATATCTTTTTCTTAAACAAGAAGTATACATTTGGAGTGGACCAAAAGGGAAAAAAACAAAATAATAACAGCAAAATCATTTAGCAAAGAGCAGTTCCACTCTGGGGACACATTGTCTGGTCACTTGGTAGATCACAGTAGAGGCAGGGATCAGCATCCCTGAGGCCAGCATTTTCCTAGGGCATCTTTCAAGTGACAGGCTTGCTCATCTAGCTTTTCAGCTTGCAGATACTCAGCAGCGGCAGCATGGTGGGGGAGGCAGTTGGGAAGCTGTGCCCCCTGTTCCTTGGGGCTCATCTCTCCTCACCCTGTCCCTGCAGCCTTTCCGCTGTGCTCACTGCCACTACTCCTGCAACATCTCTGGCTCCCTGAAGAGGCACTACAACCGGAAACACCCCAGTGAGGAATATGCAAATGTGGGCAGTGTGGAGCTTGCAGCTGAAGCACTCATCCAGCAAGGTAAGTGAGGGCCCCGGGGCCTGCCTATCTGTCCCCTGCAAAGAGCAAGAGGCATCTGACTGTTCTGGTCTGTTCTGATCTGTGAACATCCAGTTTTGTTAATCGTCATTATCATCATTGTCATCTTCCTCATTGTCTACCAGCGTTGCTCATTGCCTGGTTAATATCATAACAATCATAAGTGGAAATCTAAAAGGAACAATAAAAATTTACCCACAGATTCTACTGTGCCCGACACTGTTGGTTTAGCAGTACTACCCTCCTCTCTTTATCCACACTTAACATTTGCAGAGGAAAGTTCAGGGTCTTTTCTTTACTCACCACTGACTGACAGGAACACTTTGTTTTTCTTTGATTTAATGTCTTCCTGATTATAACTTCTAAGGCCTTTTTGTAATACAGCAGTGAGTACAAGTACTTTACCACTTCTATTACTGAACATGGTGGAGTTTCTAGAGTCTTTTCTGTGTTTGCAGTTATAACTAATATTGTAAGCATATTTATAGATGAATTTTTTGGGTCATCTAAAAGTATTGAGTGTGGAGATTACCTATTCATTCTAAAAAGGAAAAATATTTTAGGACATTGAAACTAGTTAGAATTGATGAAGACATTTGATATTACTGAAAAGTTTGTTGGTTTTTGGTTTTTATTTGCTTTTTTCAATAAATAGTCACACATTCTCACTTGAAAGATTTTAGTTCTTGTGCTGTTACCATACAAAGAAACACCACTGTATTTAGATCTACACTTAGGTAATTTAACAAAGAATGATTGTAGCATAGTGGTTGCTACTCTGAGTCCTGTGGGCTATTTGAAGCTGAAGACAGTTCTAGAAATCTGCCTCTGGTAAACAAAGATGTGGGTTGTGAGCCCTGCTGCAGTTGGGGAAGCTCAGTTGTCTTAAGTTGGCATGAACCTCTGCTTGCTATAAAGACCATGAGATGCATCTTAATGTAAAACAAATGAATTGCCTATATCCTTCAGCACTTTTGGTGACCAAGCCAGTGTACAGAAATAGATGAGCAGCTTAGAAATCTCAGAATCACTTTGAAGCCATCCATCTGGGGTATTGGAGAGCATGTACTTTTCATTTTCTTCAGTGGCAGTTTTATGGAGCCAGGGAGCAGGATGGTGTAGGGGCCTAAATCTTCTTTCTTCTTTAGCTGAGTCATCTTGGGCAAGTTACCTAATGTCTCCTTCTTAAGCCCTTCACCTGTAAGACATAGTTCATTCAGACAGCTGTCTGCTGAGATAGTGGAGAGGATGTAATATGAGAATGTTCAAGCATATGGCATGCAATACTTTTTATCCCTAGCTTTGTACTTTTTTCCCCTAGAAATATCTGAGACTTCATTACTTTCCCCAGCACCCATTGTATTCCTTTTGATAACCCTCACATCCAGAAATCACAGAGAGGAGAAAGAATTGGTCTACAGCATTGGTGGCAAACTTTTCAGAGACAAGTGCTCAGGCTCCAACCCAAAATCCATTTATTTATTACAAAGTGCCATGTCTTGGTTACTTTTGTTGCTGGGATAGAATACCTGCTGCCCCATATTAAGGAAGGAAACATTTATTTAGCTCACAGTTTGTTCAGGTTTCAGTCTATAATCTCCTGGCTCCAAGGCAGGGTGGCATGGCAGAGGAGAAAAAGTTCATAGCAGGGGAAGACAGAAAAAGCAACAAGAGGAAAGAGGGGGTGGTAAGCCACTTTTCTTCCCTTATACTGTATGCAGGCTACCCACCTTCCAGTGAGTGTAGCACTCACACCATCCCTATGCCCTCTGCTTGCACTAGCTTGGGATATTTTCAAAGTGAGGGCTCTGGCCCCTTGCTAAGTTACTTAATTAAACTTCTAAACTTCTCAAGTTGACAAAATGATCAACTGTTACATAATTCTGGAGAGTAAACAGCACGTCCTCTATACCCTAGGATGTAGAACTGCTGGGTTACTTAGTTAAGCTTCTGAACTTATCAAGTTGACACAGTGTATCAACCATTACAATCCACCCCTTGTCAATTTGGCAAACAGACACATTTCTTTAAACCAGTTTCCAGATACAAAGACATCCTTGTTCTTATCATTTAGCAACCTGAACATTATAACACAGTTTTAAGAATCCTTAAGAATTACTATTAAGTCTATCAACATTATATTACATTAGAATCATAACATTCCACCCCTGGCCCCACAAAGACTCATGCACATCCCTTTATACAAGAGGCATTTAGTCCATCTCTAAGAGTTGCCAAAGTCCTAACAGTTGCAGCATTGCTGAAAAGACCAAGTCCAAAGTCTCCTCTGAGATGTAAGTCCCTATACAAATGAAAAGAAAGTTAAACATTTCCAACATTCAATGGCACATGATAAACATTTTTGTTCCAAAAGTTACAAACAGGAATACAAAGGATTGGGACCAAATGAAGTCCAAAATCCAGCAGAGCAAACATTAAGTACTGTAGTACCATGTGCATCTAAGGCAATCTGTGACAAGTTGTGAACTCCAAAAGGCTTCAGTGGATATAGCTCTACAGCACTTCCAGTGGTTGTAGCTCCCACAGTTTCTCTCTTTGGCTGGCTTTGATCCCTCCTTGCAGGTTTTCTTAGACAATCCACACTCCTGGCTTTTCCAAACTTTTGGGGTCTCCATTGCATCTTTGGTTTTACCCTCACAGCTTCACACACTGCCCTCTCAGGGGCACATTTCCTGGACTCTTAGGCCTTCTGAAGTCAGGATAGAAGCCTTCCTAACCCAGCAACTCTTGCATTCTGTGTGCACCTAAAACCAGGGACACGTGGATGATGCCAAGGTCTGTTGCCAATTGGAGCAGTAGCTAGGCTTTCCTCTCTCTTAGCTGTAGGGCTTGAGTGCATGGATCACCGGGCACTCTGAATCCAATTCTGAGGAACAAATTTTCTGTGCTGCCTCTATTCTGGAATATGCTGCTTGGTGGCTTTTCCCTCAAACCAGAGTCTTTCACCTTTACAATTTTGAGGCTGTAAATGATGGAGACTTGCTACTACTTGTGATGCCCCCAGGCCATCTTTTCTATTGTCCTGTTCCTTCTCATCAATTGAGATTTTCTCAGCTCTATCTTTGCAGTCCATAGCTGTACTGGAGCTTCCTTTCTGGCCAGACTCACATTTTAAATCATTCTGTTGGACTCTGTGCTCTTAATTTGCAACATAATTCTGGCTAAAAGCCCCAACAATAGCCATTCCACTGCCTCAACATTAGACTGCCTTGAAATTCCTTCTGCCAGATTAACTAGTCTGCTGCTCTTAATCTCAGCTTCAGGCAGAGTCTCTGGACATGAGCAAAATGCATCTGCAAGGCCATAACACAAATTGTCTGGACTCCAATAACCAATGGAGTCCTTCTTCCCAACAGAAACCTCCTAAGCCTGGTCTTTACCAGCAGGATTTCTATCATCCTTCTACTCCTCTGAGCTCTGGCCGGAATTTCCCATACAGAACAGCTTAGCGTTCCAGGGCTACTCTTTCAGGCAACAACTCTGAACCTTTCCAGACTCTTCCCACAAGCCATTCCCAAAGGCTTCTGAACCAGATGATCAGGTAATGTCACACAACGACACCATTCTTGGTACCAAATTCTGTGTTGGTTACTTTTCTCTCATTTGTGGATCAAAATACCCATTGCCCCAGATTAAGGAAGGAAACATTTATTTAGTTCACAGTCTGTATAGGTTTCAGTCCTTAATCAGCTGGCCCCAAGGAGAGGAGCAGCAGTTCATGGCAGCAGAAGACAGCAAGGGGGGATGGACAAGCCTCTTTTCTTCCCTTATACTGTATACAGGCTACCCACCCTCCAGTGGATGTAGCACTCACACCATCTCCACTGCCTCCTTTTGCACAGGCTCCAGATGTTTACAAAGTAAAGACCCTGGCCCCCTGCTAAGTCACTCAATTAAACTTTTAAACTTCTCAAATTGACACAATGAACAACCATTACAACACTGTGGAGAATAAACAGCCCGAGCTGTACACCCTAGGATGTAGAACCAATAAGTTACTTACTTAAGCTTCTGAACTTTCCTAGTTGACACAGTTACATGCCAGAACGGCAATTAAACCTGAATACTGAGGTTTTAGTTTAGAAAAAAAAAAAAACCTCATACATTAACGTCTTTTGTCTTAAAAAAATAAAACAGAAAAGAAAACCACATGTGTTATAGGTTTACCCCCACTATGCCAGAGTCACTGTAAATAACTAGAGTGGAAGACTAGAGTTTTGTTTTCACATTCACGTGCTTGGATTAGGTTGGCAAGAAATAAGCTTCACTGTAGCTGGTGGGACAGACGAGAGTCTGATTGATGATACCATCATTGCACTGAACTTCCAAACTTTAATCATTGCCTTGCAAAAAATGTGCTGAGGTTGAACTATTTCATGCCCTAAGTTTTCTATTACCTTCCAAGATTCTCTGTAGTCGGTTAGCATTTCCTGCCAGGTCTGGGTTTTATATTTAATCTTTGCATGGTATGTTTGGTCATCTGCTTTCATTCACTGCTTTCCAGGGACATGTTAAGAAGAAGGCAACTAAGCATGTCTTGATCTTTAAGAGACATTGCACATTGGTTTTTGGTGGAACAAGAGTCTCTGTAATCAGCTGATTGAATATGAAGAATAGTTTGTCATTCTCAAAAGTACAGAGCTCACACTGTTCTGTATTTGAGAGAGACAAGGAAAATGGATGGAGAATGAGGAACTGGATTAAATTGTTTGAAAATGCAGAACTCTCTGCATGTTATATCTTCTTTTGATTAATTTCAAGTAATTGCCCCATTTCCACTTGTTTTGTCTTCTACTCTCTCCCTATTGAACATCTTCATGAAACTTTATACTTTCTTAAAAATATATAGAAATATATAGGTGTGTTAACATAACATAATAGAGAGTCATAAATAAAATGTAGTTTTCTCAAAATGATGTTGGAATCTTCTTAAACCAGTGGCAGAAATTCTTTATCTGTCA